CCAGGTCTCCCCGCCGGGGCTGCTCTGCCGCATGTGCGAGCGTCCTGGGCAGCGAGCCGTGCCCCGCGCTCGGGAGGAGCCGCGCTCTGGGCGGCGATACTCCACCCCGCCGCCGAGCACGGGGCTAACCGCAGAGCCTAGGCTCAGGGCAGCCGCGGAGCTAGCGGAGCTTGCCAGGGGCGCCTTAGCCTGGTGTTCCTTGGGAGAGGAGTACTGGCACTGCTGCACGCTGCCTGTGACAGCTCTCCTGAGCTTAGCGCTTCAGTGTAGCAGAATCAACCGAGAGAGAGAGAGAGGGGAGGGGAAAAATCCCAAACCAAACGAACAGAAGAACGATAACTGCATTTAAACTAAGTCAGACTTATCCTAACTTATACCTGAGATAGCCTACCAATATAGTTAGATTATTGAGGGGGAAAAAATGCTGAGTTCATTAAGAAGCTCACCATTAGTAAGAAGAATTGAAATTTTAGCAAAGTTAAAAGGATGTGAAAATCAGAGAAGTCTTGCCCCTATAATGGGCTAGTTATAACAGTACATACTATAGTAAAACCAAGAGAAGCAACAGCAACCTAGTTTTGTTTCACTCTCCTGCTTGCTTTCAGAAACTGAAAAAATTATTTCTTTTCTCCATATAGAAATAAAATACACTCTGAAGTCTTGCTCTTAGGCCATGCTTCTGTAAGTCCAGCCTGCTGCACACCAGAGGAAGCTTTCTTTTGCAACGGCTAACCTCTTACCACAGCACCTCTATTTATAGCTCTATATACATCTGAAGAACCACACCTGAAACCTCTCCCAAACGTTACTGTTTCCGAGCAGAGCTAGCAGCCTCCTTTTGTCTCAGTGAATGGACTCAATCTTTCTGCTGTCCAGCTGGAGGAGTGAGAAATCGTGCTTGCTCCCTCTCACTGATACCAGTTAATGGAAAAGTCGGTTTCTGTCAGTGTTGAATATGGCATCATTTGACCCATCACATGTCACTACTAAACCAAATGAAACCTCTGGCAAAA